CAGCTACATACATTTCAAACGCGGTTCGGACGCGCGCAAAGACGCGAAAACGGGAGAAGAGAGAGAGAGAGAGAGATAGCGAAAGATATCGAGAGAGATAGCGAGAGATATCGAGGGAGAGAGGAAGCGAGAAAATACATCAGAAGAAATGAAGCGCTGAAGGGAAAAAAACGCGATGCCAAAAAACATACCGATATCAGGGGCGGATCCAGAGCTGAGGCTAGACAGAATTTTTCCAGATTTTAAGGGCACATCCCCCAAAAAGGGCACACTACCCCACAGTGAGCGCCGTTAGGCGCGAAGCACATGGCGGGGGTCTGGGGGGCCTCCCCCAGGAAATTTCAAAATTTCAAGGGTCTCTGGGCATAAAAATGAGCACCATTTGAGCACACATATAGTCAAGCAAAAAACCATATGGAATTTTATTTCTGCTTCATTTTGCCTGCGCTTTGCATACCAGCAATTAATGCAGAATGATTCAAGCACTTCGTTTCTTTTTCAGATATCAAAGGTAGGATTGTTACCATGTAAAATTGTGATTTCCTTCAAGTCCTGTCAATGAATCAGGAGAAAAAGAAAACAAATAACGAATATAGCCAAATTCCATCAAATTGTTTTCTGTATTTTTTGTATTTTTTTTGTAAATTTTGAAAGGCACTTTGAAATCTAGACCGTATTTCCCAATACGGCAAATACGGTCTGAATCCGCCCCTGGATATTTACCGAAGAAAATACAACGTCGGAAACGACAGACGGACGGACGGCGCCGACACCTTTTTGCAGTAGAATCGCAACAGCGACACAATTGACTGTCAGACGAAATCAAAGACGTTAAAGTCCCACAACACCGGCGGCATAATTACCTTTAGCGTAAACGTATTACGGTCCCTCCGAGAGAAGTTGCAAGAGAGAGAGAGAGAGAGAGAGAGAGAGAGAGAGAAGAGAGGGGAGAGGTAGAGCGAGAGAGAGAGAGAGAGAGAGAAGAAAGAGCACACGCACGCACACACGCACACATGCACGCACACACATACACACACACGCACGCACGCACGCACGCACGCACACAGGAGAGCGTGAGGAAGACGTCATAGGAGAGCGTATATTGTAACATGTCTTTTGCACGTGTCACATGGATTAGTGCGTGGAGCTAGACTGGTAGTTTTTTTAGCCATATAGTCTAGCTAGACAGAACGTCGCGCATATTGGGCGGCGGCATTGATGTTACAGGGAGTTGGATAAGCGGGTTCTAGGTTAGGCAGTTTCTAGGGTGATTGTGAAATGAGGGGAACGGTTGGAACTGGACAGAACGGGTGACATGTGCGCTCAAGATGTAGAGAGTTTTGGGCGAATATATAGGGAGAGATGTAATAGGAGGGGGATTGGAGATTCTGGTTTTGGGCGAGCAGTGAGCAGACGCGCGTATGCGCGTGTGCGGCGTTCTTTGTCTGTTTGTGCGATTGTCTGAGGAGGTGGCTACACAGTGTATGAGTATTAAAGGTTGTACAGTTTACAACACAAGTTTGGATCTTCTTCATCATTTCTACATGAACTCGCATCCCTCTTTACAATATGCGTATGTCGTATTTATCATAGATGCAAGCAGAACATGTTGCCAATTCAAAGGCAATAATCCAGATTTCGGCTTCAAAACTCGTGCGGTTAAAGCCACAATATGCGCATCTACACGCTAAATTCTCCAATACTGGACTAGCAAATACTTCGTGACATGCATAATTACATTACCTTACGAGAAAATAAACTCTAGTTCCTCCCATTTCACTTCGCGTTTGCTTAAAACCCACAAGAAAGAGGTGCGAAATCTGGTAATCTGGCGCCAACGCCGAATTGTTTGCCAAGCAATTTCGCCCCGAATCGGTTAGATGACGTCACATGTTGCTACGGGTGTTGAGCAGAGAATATAGTCGTTTAGATTTTAAGATAGTAGTATTGTGAACTACAGTGTATGTAACATCAATGGCTATTGGGAAAGTAATAATAGGCAGTGTAATAAACTCCGAGAATAACGTATTGATTTTAGGCTTGATATCGCGAACGATAACATTGCGCTAGCAGCGTGCGAGCGAAAAACGCACACGGGCCGTAGAAATCTGGCAGAGCAACGCGAACGTGTCAACAATATCGCCATCGGAGAATTTGAACAACATTGGAGGTATTTTCAAATACCTTTTATAAGACAACGCGCAGTGAAATGGGAGCACCTAGAGTTTATTTTGTCATAAGGTAGTATGAATATGCATGACACGAAGTATTTGCTAGTCTAGTACTGGAGAAATTAGCGTGTAGATGCGCATATTGTGGCTTTAAAAGCCCGTCCGATCAAAGGCAACAATCAAAATTTCGGCTTCAAAACTCGTGCGACTTATATTAAGGACGCCCGATGAAAGTCGACAAGGTAATTACCTTCCCCGATATAACATACCCCGCTCGCGCTTGACAAATAAGCGCTAACTAACCGCCGCGAATCTTCCTATGACAAATAGTGTCATAGGAGTGCGTATTTATGCGTATGTCGTATTTGTCATAGATGCTAGCAGAACAGGCTAGGATATACGAGGTGATAGCTACTACCGGATGACATACCGCGTGTATGCATCCGTTCGTTCGTGCGTGCGTGTAAACGTGGGTGTGTTCGCGTGTGTGCGCGCGTGTGCGTGTGTGCATGTGTACACGCGTGTGTGCGCGCGTGTGCGTGTGTGCATGTGTACGCGCGTGTGTGAGTATTGCATAATGACTATCTTAGTGAATCACCAGCTCCAACTGAAGTATGCATTACCGACACCCCTTTGTCCTATTTATTAAGGACTCTTTAAGTCATCTTATGCAATCATAACACCCCCAACGTCACGTCACCTTACGTCACTCATATAATATTATTATTAATAATAATAATAATAACAATACCTGGATTAATTTAATAACCCCATTCTTAATCACTGCCTGTCACCTCTAAAACTTACCTGGATCACATTAATAAACCTTTCTAAACACTGTCACTTCTACAACATACCTTGATTTACTGACTGCTTTTACTGACTTACTGTAATTTGTGATCGTCATTTAACTGTCTATCGTGTCTATAGCTTTTTAAGCTCATTTAACGCAATTTTTATTGAGGTTTGCACATTATTGATGGTACAAAATTTCTTTTTATTACAGGCAAGGATTCTTTCTAAAAATTCAAGAACATTTTCATGAAATTCAAGGACATTTTCATGAAATTCAAGGACTTTTCAAGCACAAAATCAACATTTACTAAATTCAAGTACTTTTCAAGGACTCCCCTCAAATTCAAGTACTTTTCAAGGACTCCCCTCAAATTCAAGGACTTTTCAAGGACTGTGCGAACCATGGGTAGGTAGGTAGATAGAGGGAAAGAGAGAGCGAGAGCAAAAGGGAATACAGAGATTGTTGCGCGAAAATGAGAGACAGGAGATCCTCAAAATACCAATAGAAAGTGCAAGCAAGAGAAAAATGATAAGAGGAGAGGTGGCGTGGAAAAGTGCACGTGCTGCTTGAAATAACGCGCATAGACACCTGATGGTTGCTTTCAGTCGGAAACTATCGCACGGATTTATTATTCCTAATAAAATTGCCTCTATGCATTTCAGCAACCTCGAGGTTTTTCGCGCGGTAAGCAGCGTGTTAGGTGACTGACAGGGTTATGAAAGATGCGAAATGTGAGATGAGAGGTGTGCGTGATATTAACAAGCGAGTGACAAGGGGGACAGGAAAGCTGCCCCTAGATTTTGCATCAAAATTAAAAAATAAGCTTAGCTAATTCTCGTAAATAACCCTATCGATCGTGATTTTTTTGGTCATTTATCCGTGAAAGCCTTGTCTCAGACCCACCCCTACCACACTATGGACGTCGATCAAGAGCTGCGCCCGTCGCTCATCATTACACCGCTGAGTCATAAAATTTTGCCGCCCCCCTAGGAATTTGCTCAGCCCTACCCTACCGTGATATAACAGCCAAACAGGATGCTAAGCGATTTATTCCCCACAACTGCGTTAACCTATTAGTAAAAACAAAATTAGCTTAAATTCAATTAGCTAGTAATCGTTAACGAAGGATTAACGTTTTGCACGTGAGCTCGCGATTTTTCCTTCAACCGCTAATTCATTCAAGCCGTCCTTTTGTCCAAATGCGCGTTCGCTCACTGTGTGCGCGAGAGAAAGGACCGCGAAAGAGATTTCATACATTTTTTCGCCTAAAGACCAAAATGCGTTTCGTCGTCAATGTAAAGGCGTCCGTTGCACGCACGCACACGCCTGCACGCACGCGCACATCTGCACGCACGCACACATCTGCACGCACGCACACGTATGCACGCACGCACACATCTGCACGCACGCACACATCAGATGGTTTGATGACTCAATCACAGTGACTGTGATGGTGCGGGCTTGAGGGTTTGCCCTACAACCTATCCTCACAATAGCGTCGCCATGCGGACGGTTTCTCTCTCTCGAACTCTCTTACTTCGCCTCTATCCCGCGCGCACGCTTTCACGATCGCAATCCGGCTATCCCTCCTTTCTTTCTCTATCCATATATACTCTGTTTCTCTCTCACCCCCTATTTTCCCTCTCTTTCTCTCACTCTCTCTCTCCACAATTCTCTCGCCCGTGCTCTCTCCCTCCTGCCCTCTGTCCTTCCTCTCTCCCTCTCTATCTATAACTAGTAGGGTAGAAACTATATCAGAGTATTCTGGGTGTACGTGGTCGGTATAGGGAGTCGTTGCGAGTAACGAGTCTAGCATGCTAACCAAAATTTGAGTAAAACATAAAATGTTCTAATGTCTCAACTCTCGTTGATATCAACTAGTTGAGCGCTCAAATTTTACGTTTACACTGCCGACGTTCGGTCGATTAGTTGAAAAGTGGATAAACTCATCAACCTTTCAACGGAAGGTTGAAAGTGTAAACCTAGCCTTATAGGGGGTCGTTGTGGGTAGTGAGTTTAGCATGCAGGTATACCTGGCTAGCTAGAATCTGAGCAGCTATGGCGTGAGGTTCGCACAGCTTCTTGATGTCTGCACTCTCCAGCATAGACGTCGACTGCGTGGCACCGGCGACGTTCACTTGTTGCTGCGCCAGCGCCATCTTGATCTCGCTGCAACAAACGAAAACGCAAATCAAACATGGACGCCAAAAATACGCAAACATGGACGCCAGAGCGAAAAGTATGAACTTCGATTTTTCGTGACACGTGATACGCAGCGCTGAAACAGTTAAACAGTCATTCTCGATAAAAAAATTTCGAAAAATTGTCTCTCGCAAATGGAATTTTTTCTCATGGTCTTTGATCGCAAGGACCCCTATGTGACTATGCAGCGCAGGTCATATTGCAAAGGAAGCAATGTGCAGAAATGTACCTTAGCGCAATCTAGTTCCGGTTCCACCACAACAACTGACCTATCCACGTAGGCGAAATTAAACATGTTGAAGTGATCCTGATTTTAAATACCCTCTCCCGAACTCCACACGAAGTCTCTTAATCCCATCGTTTCTTAATTGTAATCGATCGACAATTCAAAATAAAATCGTAAATCCGTAAAATCGAAATTCAATTTGTTTACACACGCAGAGAAATAGAATCCAGCCAAGCGCATGAATGCAATCCACGAATAAATTTCCCGCCGAATTCCCGTTGAAACATTTTTGTGTTTTTTTTCTTCGCAGATCGTGACGAAACGCACTTTGTAAACGCCGAGTCGTGCACACGGTGCCGCTGAGTATCTCAAACACATCACGGACGATTTTTTTACCGACAGTTTCTCTGACGTCACGCGTTTGTAGCGCGCCTTGCTATCGTCGTGACAGTAAAAGGCAGGCATATAAATGCGTTCAGCACTCCTATATATATATAAACAACGTGGTTAGTTCGAGAGACTATATATATCAGATATATATATATATATATATATAACACACGTCTGCACGCACGCACACATCTGCACGCACGCGCACACCTGCACGCACGCACACGTGTGCACGCACGCACACGTCTGCACGCACGCACACATCTGCACGCACACACACGTGTGCGAACATTACGATGACGAATACACGAAGAATGCATTACGGTGGTGGAGAGTCTCATACTCGCATGCCAATACCGATACAAACCCAAATACCGATATACCGAGCACAAATACCAACATCGGTACCAATACCGATACCAATATCGATACTAATATTAATATAAACATAGTGGCTACGCGTCCAGTCATCCATTACAAAGCTCAGCACAGATTCCCAAATCCACGTCACGATTAGGCCACGCCCCTTTTAAAATCGTTGATTTTACTGGATTTACTATTGCTTCAAAGTTACAAAAACACATTTTCTCGATAAAATACCTAAAGGTAAGTAATATTATGGTAAAAACGTATTGTTTTTAAAACGTTTACTGAAAACAATATAGCTGGGTTCACATAAGAAATATATGACCGGACGCGTAGCCTGAGAGCTGGGCGTCCGGTAACCTGACGCGTAGCCACGGCACGGCCTAATATCAATATCAATATACAAATAGGCGATGCTAATTCGATGAGAAATTTAGATACTATACACGCGCATATATTGCATTCAATGTGCGCAGATACGTGGGCGTCGCGATTGGTTATTCAGTCCTCGCCACGGAAACTCAGAAACTCGAAAACGCAAGAAGAATAGAGAGCAGAGAACGATATTGCCTGCCAGCCAGCGCTCGCAGATTTTCCAGCAGAATCCAGCGCTGAAGACCCGTCGCTACACGCAGCATAGCCGGAGCACACGCACGCGATTGCTTTCGACATAAAAATACACTCAGTGCTGAGATCAAGGCGAAACTTGGCAAGCGCAGCCATCAGACGACAAGCGGGATTCATTCCCTGCGGCATCTGCATGTCACTACGCGCGCGCGTTAATGGCGACAGAGATGGCGGGGACTACTGTTCACGTGTATATACCCTGTAACGCGCGCTTTAACACCGACAGAGAGGGAGGAAGACGATGATGGCGTCATGTTGGACTTCTATGTACGTGTATATACCCTGTAACGCGTGCTTTAACACCGACAGAGAGGGAGGAAGACGATGATGGCGTCATGTGGGGAAGTACGTAATGATGGGTGCATGGTGGGACGTGTGCTAGTGGTGAGATGTAGTATAGCGGCTTAACCACCTTTTAACGGTGACAGAGAGGGGGAAAACGATGATGGCGTCATGAGTAGAACTCTGTTCGACAGTGGTATTATTAGGTTTACCCTGTAACGCCGGTCGTCAGTGCGCTCGGCCACCTAAACACCGACAGAGGAGGAGGGAGGTAAGACGACGCACGATGCATGTCATAGTGAGAGACTCCTATATATAATATATATGCAGGAGCGTATAATGGACACATTTTTGTCATTATTTGTCATTATATGCTCCTGATTATCGCTCGCTCACAAATATGAAGTTGCATTTATCCGCGTGCTTGCACAAATATTGTCATTAATATCGCCCTGATATATATAGGCCTGTAAGGCGCTCCGCCATGGATATGTCCGGCCATATAGTACTGATCTACGGTTAAAGCTACTTGGCTATCCTGTAGTGGCATAAGCGCAGAGCGTGCTCATCTAGTTTAGGACATATAGGTAGGCCGTATATATATGCATAGACCGTATACGTATATAAATCAATGTAGGGCTATCTATTAATTCAAGGAGTGTTTATTAGGCTCTTGATATAAGTTCGTAATACATGGCGCGTAAACTAATCCGATGGTGCTAACTAGGATTGAGCTGACCAGAAGTTCCACGCTTGTTTCGGCCTTTAAAGTGAATAAACTACAGCTATATAATCTACTGTGAGCTCGCCTATGTTGGCAAATACAATTCACTACAACTTTTTTGGTTATTGCACTTTCACAATAGTTTCTTCATAAAAAAGTAGGCCGCCACAGGATGTTTACATGTGTTTACACACTTCGGTACACAGGCGGAGCAAACTACTCTCGATATTGACAACCGCTCCCTGTGTGGCATCCTCCCTCCAGTACTAGGATTGGCTACACATGTGTGAGTGGGCTTCTGGCATATAAACGCCTCGAGGCTTCATATTGAATTTTGCAAGCCGCAGTTTGCCACTTTCCTTTCGAGACAAACGGCCTACAGTGAATCGCCGCGAGTTTATAGGCGTGAATCATGCAGAAAGATTACGGTCAACAGTGCACTGGGGTTAATCATGCCCATTCTATTGCCGGGATCTTGTGGCTTTACCCCCACAAGACGATCGCGTATAATTGAAGAAGCCGCCTATATGCTCCCCGGCACCTCACATGCGAGCCACGGTGCACCGGTAAGCAGCGTATGCTATGGCGCGCCTGATGACAATAGAGCTTCCGCGCCACGAATTATCAGGATTGTCATAAACGCCGCTAGGTTAAGCGTATATGGCTTTGGCGGTATGATTGCACGTGGACTGAATGTTTGTTTGGTTTTGACGGTCTAATCGGGTATTAATTGTATATGACAAACGGTGGCGACAAGCATCGAGCAACGCCGCCCGTCAGGCAGGTCGCACTTGGCGCGGCACTATAGAATTGACACAGCGCTGACCACGTATTGAGCGCGAACGACATTCTAGCGTTCAGGGGAAGCAACGCACCCCGCGTGACGAAGCGGTCAGCAAACCTGAGTGACGAGGGCCTCTTGAGCGTCTTGGACAATAGGGGCGTGCGACAAAGCTGGACGGCCAGGTGACACGACGCGTAAGCGAAATCAGCAGAGACAACTTGAGAATATGTGAGGCGACGCGCTGTAAACGCACGATGACTCGAGCAACAGACAAGCGGCGCAGAATGCGCATATGCTAAGCTCACGCGCAAGAATCTAAGTTTAATTTCCCTGCCAAATGCAGTTCAATCGCGGTTTTGAATGGGCAGTATATAACTGACGTCGCATGCAAACATAACATCGTCGGCGCTCAGCACGCTTGTCGATTCTAGTTAAATATGTTTGAATTTCTCGGCTTGCGTAAAATGTAACTTGTTATCGATTGATAATATTTACTAGTATTATAGTGTATGATTTAGATAGCCAGACTAATTCTCATCAACGATCGTCTTTAAAATCATACATTGATTATCGACTTGTAAGCCATTCGAAGATGAACCTTCAGTATAAGCTACTTGTATTTATGAGTGATTTACGATGAGCGTATTCCGTGCGTATCGTCCCTTGTTACGAAGTGCGTAGTCAAGAATGAAACGCATGGACTAACTTCTTTCATAGCATATACGTATTGATGATATTGCTCAATGGCATGTGTATTGGTATAACCATAATAACATTTCGTCGCCTCACAGCACCACAACCGCTGTGCGATTCTAGATTTGATGTTTGATGACCGTGCAACGGGAAATTAATCCAGCCGAGCTATTCGCCGCCAGACATCGCGCTAAATAGGAGTAAACGAAACGTTGTGGCTGGTAGTTTTTATTTTAATCGTGATATACACATGTTATACTTGATCTGTTCGACAGTTTCCACTCGGCTACGCCAAATTGTGAAATTTGTTGAATCATGTTAAACGTTTAAAACCAATGTTAATCGCTACATTACAATACTGCAATGAGGAACTAAATTATTGTTATTTGCGTTCCACTGGGGAAGCTATTTGCGCATAGGCGTAGGGGCTACTATTTAAGGCGTCCTGCGCTGACAGTTTTTTTTTGGTTGCTTCACTCAGTAATTTAGCGCGCGCAACTCAAGACGTGGTAATTCAAAACTAGTCATTAGCGCGCGTTCACACATAGCAAGAATCCGGTATTTAGCGTTCACAGCGAGAGGCAAAATGGGGCGCGGTCCTAAGGAAATAAGGTATCTAAACAGATGGCGGTATTCATGTAAATACGAGGCTTCCCCCAACCGCGACCGAATAAATTTGCCGTGCTTGAGAAATACCGGATTTCGTTGGACCGGTGGCATTTAGCCTCGTGTGAACGCTATATACGCGGATTTCTGAAGCCGCCGTATTTTTATAGGCTGGTCGGCGGCTCGAGCGTTCTCAGTGTAACGCGAGTGAACTGTCGAGGCGCGACCAAGTCTACGTATTTATGGCAGTTGGTGCGATTTGGCATTGT